ACAAGATCAAGGAACAAGCACTGAGGTCTCTTCTTACCACTTCTGCTCGAATTGTCCAGGGGTCCTACACAGTGCAATAATCCTGCAAAGTAAGGAAAGCCTGTCCAAGAAAGAAAAAATTTCAAATTGTGCTTGCAGATGATGTGATTGCAAACAGAAAGCCCTGAGAACTCAACCAAAACGCTACAAGAACTAACACAGTGCCAGCAGAGAGGCCCCAGGTTTGCTCAGAGATCCGGAGCCTTTGGTTACACATTCCTCAAATCTTCCGGAATGGTGGCCACATGGGTGGCATTAGTCTTCATTTTTCCCTTCTCTTGGTGCCATTTTTCTTGTCTTTCACAATTTTTTCCTAATTGGTTTTACTCTCCCTTCCTTCCCTTACCTCCCCACTCCCTTTCTTTTCCCACTTCATAGATTAACTGATATTAAAGCACTTAGGAAACAATAAGAATATGTTTGAACAAAAATTAGATTTGAAGAACTTAGGCCAGGAAAACTAAACAGCCAACAGACTATGTTAGAAAGGAAAAGGTAGATAAATAGGCACAAAGAAAGCCTCATCAAACTGGGTTTGTGTTTCCAGGAAGTGACTGATTTTTCCTATAGCTTCATTGTTCTTTGAACCCCCCAAAATTATAGGTAGAATTTTGTAGACTGTGCATTTTGCTTTACAGAATAGCCATTGTTTTTTCATGGATCTTCGAGACAGTCATGACCCAAAAAGAAACAAGGCAGACTGCTTTAGATGGAGCTCTCCTGTCCCCCTGGAACAATCATCACAGAGACTAATATTACGGACCCCTAATAACACTAAAAGTGGAACTTATATTCAACACTAGGAAAACATCAGGCAATTATTACCTGTATCTGAGGAGAAGACTCCAACCACATACCGTTAGTGGAACTGAAATTGGTGAGAACTCCATACATGCCTTAGTTTTATCAATGATATTTTAGTTGATAGATACTCAGGAAACAATCAAGAATGTATTGAAAGACTTAGCCACAAGAATGCTCATTATTGCATTGCTTCTATCAGTGAAAAACTGGGGCAGCTGATAGCATTCCACAATAATGAATTGCCTGAAAAAAATTACCATACATCAACACAATGGTGCACTGTTATCTGTAAAAATGGTGTTGAAAAATATTAGTGCATTGTAAAAAATACCAATCCTATGTCAAGAGTCAGCAAACTATCGCCATAGGATAAATCTTGCCCATCACTTGTTTTTGTTTGGCGGGAACGCTGCCACATCCATTCGTTTTCTGATTGTCTGTGGCTGATTTTGTCCTGTAGCCACAGAACTGAGTAGTTGCGATAGAGACCTTGAGGCCAGCAAGGCTGACAGTACTATCTGGCCCTTTACAGAAGAGGCTCGCCAGCCTCTTTTCTTTATCATTAAGAAAGCGGTATTCCTTCAGAGAGAGAGAGAGAGAATAATCAAAGTAAATATACTGAAATTGTAAACAGTAGTTATTCTATGTGATTAACAGGTAATCTTTATTTTAATCCCTTTGCTTTTCAGTCTTTTCTAAAATTTATACAGTATCTATTAGTTTTGCCATCACATACAAAACATTTTTTAAAAAAAGATCATACCATTTAAAAAACCCATTCTTTTTCCTCGGTCTCCCAATCTCTTCTCCTGGTTACATGACAGCACAAGATTCTCTAGCTATTCTGTTGAGTGGCTATTGAGAAGCCACCAATTGCCCTGCACCCAGGTTCTATTCAGTATTACACCTGGGAGGGTCTCAGCAACAGGGAAACGAGGAGCAGGGCAACAGTGCTGGGAGAAAATTAAGATCTGCAGATGTGACGTTTCCTAGAAAGCAGCCTGTCTTGGTTTCTCCCATAATTATTCACCATTTTGTTTACAAATGGGAAATAGCTGAAGTTAATTTGAAATAATCCTCCAGCAAAAGTGCCAGTAAAAGCACCTGACACGCCCCGATGCCATACCCTCTGGCTACTGGTGCTACCACATTACTGATACACAAATCAAAGCTGACTGCGCTGGGAAGCCAGAGTCCCTGGCAGGAAGTGCTTTCAACAGAGAAGGTGCCCCTTTCTCAGGACAGGCCCAACTTAATACAGCAGCTCATTGTAACAGGCTTAGTGAAGACATTAAAGCAATCCCAAAAGGAAATTTTAAATCCCCTTCCTTTTTTTTTTTTTTCTTAGATGGAATGGGCCTACCGAAAGAGTCATCAAGAATAAAAGAAAAAATTCAAACTATGCTTAAGAAGCTCATGAAACATAAGGGAGGCTATAGACATAATGTGATATGAGAGCTGTCACAAACTTCACCTGTCAGAGGCTGTAACAAAAAACTAACACCTGCCTGAAGTTTGTACCATTACAGTCATTTCCTCGAGATACAGTGTCTTTTCAAAAGCTCTGCTTAAATGCAGAATTATTGAACATCTGGATTTCAAGGGTCCATAGAGGTCATACAGTCATTCCTGAACTGACATGTGAATCCCCTCCAGTATCCTAAGATGCTGCCTACCCTTGGTAACTCCTCCTATGACGGGGAACTTATTACCTCCAAAAAAAGCAACTATTTCATTTTGAGTGGGCTATAATTACATAAAAGGCTTCCTTGTGATGAACTAAAATCTGCCTCCCTGTAATTTTTGTTCTTTGATCATTAGTTCTGTTTCATTCATTCAAGCAAGCATTTCCTATAGCCCCTCTCAGGCACTGCAGATAGTCAAGGGACCTGCGGTCGGGGGGCTTACCTCCGTGAGGAAGACCACCGGCACACAAATAAACTGACAACAGGCAAGACTGTTTCAGTCGCCGTCGAGACGATAAAGAGCAGAGAGAGTGTGGGGGATACGTAAATGGAGGGTGTTACGGGTTGAATTGTGTCGCCCCTAAAAATATGCTGAAGCCCTGACCCCTGGTCCTGTGAACGGGGTCTTCTTTGGGATTAGGGTCTTGGTGGATGCGGCCAAGTTAACATGAGGTCATGAGGGTGGGCCGGTGTCTGGTGGTCTTCTAAGAAGAAGAGGAGAGACATGCACAGAGAGGAGACAGCGAAGACACACGGCAAAAACTCCAAGTGAGGGCAGAGGCAGAGATGGAAGCCGTGCGTCTACAAGCCAAGGACACCACGGGTCACATGGCCAGTGCCTTGAGTTTGGACTTCTATCTTCCAGAATTATAAAAGAATAAAATTCTGTGGATTTAAGCCACCCAGTCTGTGCTACTGTAATGGCAGCCCGAGGAAGTGACACGGAGGGTCAGGGAAGGCCTCACCAACGGGCAACTCTGAGCGGATGAACCAGCTTTAACCAGGAAGAAGTCTCTTGGGAGCACAGGAACCAGGAAGAGCAAAAGCCCTGAAGATGGAATGAGCTTGGAATGCACTGGGAATAGAAAGGAGGCCTGCGGTACGGGAGCTCTGAGCAAGGAGGGGAGTGGTAGGAAACGAGCCAAGAAGCAGGCTGGAGCTAGAATGGTAGCAGAGGTGCCCAGCCTACTGTATGCAAAATAGGCAGACAGCTGGGCCCCATCCCAGGGGCTGGTGCATGGGGGTCCAGGCACTGATATATTTTTAGAAGTCCCCCAAATGAGTTTGAGAACCACATATATAGAGCTTTGTAGATCCACTAAGCAGTTTGGAATTTCTTCTTTGGGCAATGGAAGCCACTGGGTATCTCAGCTCACCTGGAAGCTCTCTCTGCTCCTTGGCAGCACAGCCCTGTGGGTATCTGCAAGCAGCCCATGAATGCTGCCCCCCGCTCCAGGACTCCCCCTCATCTCCCTTGTCTTCTCATTCCTGAACATTGCTAGCTCCTTGCATGTACTTCGGCTTAACAAATACTGCAGCCTAGCAGGAAGCCTAAAAGTAGAATGCCTCAATACGCTTTAACATGATTGCCCACAATTGTCTGTTAGATTAGCTAGTTCAGTGGTTCTCAACCTTTCTTTCTGTCCCATGAGGCTGACATCCCATCCCGACCCATTCTCCATGGAGGACGCATAACACGATGTCAACAGTGGAACAGAATGAACGCTGCCCCTGTTGGGGTGAGGTCTCCTTGTTCTGATTGGCAGGAACGAGGGGGCTCAGGCAGTGACGCCCCCATGTTGGTTGCTGGGGGTGGGGACTGCTGAGGCATGGGTGTGGCAGGGTCTCTGCAGGCAGACTTCAAATTCCCTGGGCTGAGAAGAGAATCGACCAAGGAATGTCATTCATGCAGTGAAAGGTTTTAAGCCTTGACACTGTAATTTAGCTGGAAGGTATTTTTGGAAACCCTTGCTCAAAGCAGACACAGAAGACAACGTTCAGCCTGTGTGCTCATTGACGCTTTCCCCTCTCCGGAGACTGACAGGAACTCCTGAGGAACACAGAGGCCTGGTGGCCCAGCAGGCAGTGGACACCAAAAGGCCAGAGCAGCAAACTGCAAACTTGGAGGTGGACCAGCTGCCTATCTGTTCAAGTCTCCCCCAGGTTTATGCAGACTTGTACAGACCTGCGCATTGTAAGCGTCCTTGCTCGTTGCCCAGGTCCACAAAAGAACTAGCTCTGGGAGGAGCAGTGAGATTCCCCTTCATCAGAGGGACTCAGACTATCCCAGGGGATCATCCTGGGATGGCGCAGCCACCTGCTGACCGCCTGGCTGTGTCTGATTGAAAGGCACCTCATGGTAAATGTTTTCAGTATTACTTCTTTATCCCAGGGCTCTTACAGAGCTTCACATAGCAATGGAATAGCAGTTCTAATACTCACATCCTCGCAGGACAGTTACTGGGTTATCTGGTGGTCACCCTTTCGGTGGTCCCTGTCCCGGCGACCACTCTCCTCTGACTCACAGAGTGGACTCCCAGAAACTCCGTTAAGCAGTGGCTTTAACCACACGGATCAGTCCAGGAGTGGGAGCCGCTCAAAGTCCCACCTCCAGGAACGGGGTTCAGGCCCTGGGGAAATTCAGTCTCCCTGTCTATCATTAAGTCTTACTCTTTTTCTCTCTCCTTACAGTACAAACACTTGGGGGTCGCCAGCAGCCGAGTCACACAGTCTATGAACTGGGAAACTGAACAAGGCGACCTGCAGTAAAAGAAAACCATTCATCCAACGCCATTACGTTATTTATTATTTGCTTCAAATTGTGTTGAACCAGATGAAGCTGCCAATATCTGGTCATCTGAAAACTGACCACAATTAATAAAATTGACACGATGTATTTCTAGCTCCACTGTTTGAATTTACAATGGTATTGTCCTTTTCAATTTCCTGATAACTGATTTGTTTTTGCTACTGTTTATTTTTCCTGCAGAAGTAAGCACTACGGTACCTTCACACAGACTGTGAACTCTTTTCCTTTGATACAAATGTCGGCAGGGACACGGCATACCTGAGACAGGTGGAAACATCAGTTCAGCCTTGGGGGAGGCTTTCTTAGCCAAAGGACTGTTCTGTGGTGCTTTAACATTTCTGTTGAGGGGGCGGATCTCTGAACCTTCTGTGTGAGCCTAAAGAGACACCTGAACCCATTTTTGGTGACCATCAAGTGGAAACCGTGCTAAAAGCTAACTTTTAAACCACAGTGAGGCTCTGCTGCAGACTTGCAGCTGTGCCAAGACAGATTCTCAGAAGTTGGGTGTGAGAGGGAAGGTGAGAAAATGGACAGTAGATACCACACCGCTGGGCGGGAGGGCAGGTGCTGAGACCGTGGGAGGGCTGCCCATTGCTTAAGATTCCAGAGAGTAGAGACCCATTTCTGGAGGAGATTATAACCTGTGACAATGAATGGATATTGGCTGACAACTGAAAGAGGTACTGACACTGCTAGACATTGGGAGGCTCTGTCAGGAAGCCCTCGTATGATCAGAGAGGGCCTGGTGCCTACGTGGTGGTCTGTAGAAGACGTAACGTAGCAGTTCTTTTTAAAACCATGCGAAAAACAACCACGGAATAATCTTGTCACAACAATTGTCCTAAACTCGATTTGTAAATGGTTCTGGGATTATATACTGCTTTGGTGGCCTCTTGGGCACCTCCCCATCATTAGCATACGCTGTCAGAACAGGGGTTGGCACACTATGGCCTATGGGCCAATTCCAGCCCATCACCTGATTTGAGTGGGCAGCCCAAGTGCTAAGAATAGTGTTTGCATTTTTTAAATAGTTGAAAATAATCAGAAGAAGGATGTTTCTTGACATGTGAACATTACGTGAAATTCTGATTTCATAGGTAAAGTTTACTAGAATACACCACTACTAATTCATTTACATATTTTCTGTGGCTGCATTCAAGCCAAGGCAGACTTCAGTTGTGACAGAGTCTATATGGCCTGCAAAACCTGAAGAATTTACTATTTGGCTCTTTTCAGAAAAAAGTGCACTCATCTCTGTGCTAAAGGTCCATTACTTCTGCTTCTGGGAGACTTTTCAAGCAAGATGTTGCTGGTACCTAAAAAGAAGTTTGATCTCCATCAAACTTAAAGAAGAGGCTATGCCTTTTTTGTGGCCACTTGGAAAGCAATAGCACAATTTGGCCTGAGATTTGCTTCCATTGGAAACTGGCTGTGAATTGCAGGAGCAGACTCAGAGCTGACCCCTTCCTCTAACTGTTGGGAGTTAATGATACTGAGCAAAATGAACTTAACTGTGTAAAGCCCAATTTGCTTAGATCATTTTGCAGCAGAGGCCCTCGAGGGGCAGACTTGAGAGCTGGAACAAAATACTTGTTAGCATTTTAGTATTCCAGACCTTTCCTGAGACCCAGTTGCTTTACTGTCCTTGTACCTCATGAAACATTGCATATCATTAAAATGAAACCCCCCACCTTTTTTTTTTCTTTTGCTTGAGCCATGTCTAGCAGATTTTTAGCACTTCTACCCAAATGGAATCCTTATTTATACAGTCCTGATGGTCAACAGAAGGGGATAAAGACATCAGAGTTGCAGCCGTTCATTTTATGGAGCCATAAGATCTTCTTGAATTATTTAGTCAGCCGTCCACCAGCACTTACGACCAGGTACTTCTCACACTTAACCCAGAAATCTTAGTTATTAAGGTGATGCTTTATAATCTTTGCACTGGGCAACAGCACAATGAAAACCCTGATACACTTTAGGTAAGACTAGGGAGTACGCAGTGTGTTGATGGGTCATACGTAATATGCACCCTAGTGCTTTTTAAGAGAGGCGGTTTGCACATCTAAGATAACCCAGGTGCCTCATCTTTATTCACATGATTCCAAATATTCAGCAGGTGTGCAAACAGATCTTCCAAAGACAGAACCAGGCCCAGCACAAAAGCCGTACAAGGAGCCAGTGTTTCACTTTCTCTCTGTCCCCTTTGCCTTCCTCAGCCTCACACCCCACCGTCACTACCACCTCCCCCCCAACTCTGCAGTCACCCTCGCTGGCATTCCCACCAGTCTCACTTCTAGGTGACAATATTAGCAACTGTCTGAAAGATGTGCAGAGAAGACAGCAGGAGTGTGCTATCAGTAATGACACACCAGATCAATAAACACCTTCATGCAAGCCTGTCCCAGTTCGTAGATAAATGAGTCCCTGCTTTAATTTATTAAACAAGAACTGGCAAGAGTCAAGAGATAGGCACTCTATAAGGCAAAAGGAATTTCCCATACTAAATTGAATAGGGTGTAACTTTTTCCTAACTTGATCATTTTTGTCGTCCCACTTATCAACAAGTAAGAATTGAAAATAGTCTGCTCCCCAATGGACATGTTGATTTCCAGGGCCACTGCCATGAAAAAAAACATTCGTGAATTTTCCATAGGTACATCATTTTGCTGTTTGGCATCTGCCTCCAGTGATGTTCGTCCTTTGATGAACTCCATGGTTCCTCCTGGTAGGAGCACCTATGAGCCCAGGGAATTCTTTTTCCTAACCTACTCTAGTGGTGGAAACGCATCTGTTTCAGGAAGGCTGTGCTACATAGAGCGCTTGCTTTTCCTGCACTAATTCTAATAAATCCAGGAGAGAGTGCGGCACCGAATGGATGCACCCAGGCCTGCCTCAGTGTAATGGGGCTTTCATGCTGACATGCTCCATTAGGGACCACCACACACGTCTTCCTCAATAGACAAGCTTACCACTCAAGTAATAAAGCCATTTATGGAGAGAAGTCAACCAAAAGACCAGGACTTATGAGAGGCTCTCAGAGAGGAATCACACCGACTTAGGTTGAAAGAGAATTCCATTGATTCAAATCAAAAGACCACCTTTCAACAGGGAGCCCTACTTCCTACGGTCCCATCACCTCGCCTTTCCTTCTGGGTTCAGAAAAAAAGGCTCCTCCGTGCAGCCCCAGGAAGGGGAAGGGAAGGGTGACTTAAAAGCCAATTAACCCCTTTCTGAATATTAGATTAGTTTTCTCTGCTTTTTTTTAAAACACAAGAATTTCTGATCAAACAAGAACTTTTTCACTTTTAATTAGCCCCTTGTGTTCTGTGAAGAAAAGCAAGGGTGGAAGTTATTAAAAAGCCTCTTATTTTAAAGTCACTATCACAAGGATTTTCAGTGTTTTAGCTCTACTGATTATTAAAAGAAGATGTCACAAAGAAGCGGACGTTTCCCTTTCTGTGGGTTCCCCACCCAACCTGTGGTGGAGAGCGATTCTGTGTCTTATCCGGGACACTGCGAATCCAGGAGATGCAGGAAGGGCGCTGACAAGGGGTGGATGTGGGATGAAAGAAAGCTTCTTTCAGGACATGGTGCCTGAGAAAGAGATTGGAGGTCCCTAATATGCTTTGCTGACCCTCACAATGTACCAGCTGCTCTTAACAGGACTCACTACATGACAGTTATCATTGCTGTGTGTGCAGACACATATATGTATAGGATATAGGATTAGGGCATAAACATATATATGAATGGGTATACAAATGTATGTACATATGTTTCTGTGTATGTGTGTATTTAGATATCTAAGTGAGGATATAAAAACCCCTGTACTTTTGCGGGGAGCAGTTCAATACCTTTTTGTCTTTTATTAAAGCATCACATACATATAGTAGCATGAACAAAACCTTAGGTGTACAACGTAATGAATTTTTACATGTTTGTGCCTGGCTAACCATCATGCAGATTAAGACATAAATATCTTCCAGGAGCTGAGATGTAAATCCAAGTGGGCCGGCTCAAAGCAATCCCCTCTCTGCACCCCACAGGAGAAGGGACCAGCATCTAACCAGGGGGGAGTGTCCCTGTCCTTACCCCTGAAGCGGGGGTGTTTCTGCAAACAGCTCTAGAGAGGTGGAAGATTCCCAGCGAGTGGATGCTGGCAGCTGTCACCCCAACCGGCCAGCACAGCCGCCTGCTTCTTGATGGCAAGGGGGTCCTCTCACAAGGGAGTCGCCAACTGACCCTTTCCCTGCCTCCCAGGCAGCTAGTCCCTGTGACTGTGAGCCAGCCAATGGGAACTGAGGGGATGTCTGCTGGAGCCTTCTGGAAAAGATCTCCCTTCTGATAAAGGAAAAACATTTGAAGGAAAGTTCTGTCCCCTCTTTAGCCAGCGATCGGTGGACAAGGTGCTTAGAGCTGGGGCAGCGGTCCAAGAGGGCAGATGACACCAATGTCCACGGAGAGCGGCAAAGTGAGTCCTTGACGAGTTGGTCAAATCCCCAAACCAGGGGTCAGGAAACTTGTGCTGTAAAGGGCCAGATAGTCAATATTTCAGGCTTCGTGGACCACACATGACCTTTATTGCCTATCAACCTCCCCCTTAACCTCCTACTTCTTCTAACTTTCTTAGTTCTCAGTCTGTACAAAACCAGAATGTACGGTGGACTTGACGCACAGGCCATAGTGTGCTGACCTTTCCTCTAAGCCAACCCAGCAACCACCTACCTCCAGAGTTCTTATTAAGGGATACAATTTTAAAAACAAAGCTTTTAAAGCTACTCTAAGTTACATATTCTGTTATTTGCAACTAAAAAATACTACGATGATACTGCAGTGCATCTCCTTTCTCAGACTTACTCCATGTCTTAAGGAAAAAGGAATCACAGTGACAGGAGTACAGGAGAGGCCAGAGGGAAATACGCCACATGCGTATTAGGACTTTCTTCTCAACATGTAGAGCCTGCTGCTGCCTCGGAGGGACAGGTGTGGACAGAAGGACAGGTGGTGTGAAGAGCAGAGACCAAGG